AAAAACCACAATCTTAGGTTTGAACCAAGCAGTTGGTTGAAGAAAGGAGAATGTAAGCGACTTTATTTCATAATTGGTTCCAAAGTGGTTGTTTTTTTTTTACAGCAATCTCTCCAGACTGCAGATAATACTCTCAAAAAACTGCTCCCTTTAAGGAAACTGTAAAAAAAAAATTAGCGATAAGCAATCTAAAGCTTTGGTGGAGTGTGATGATGTGCAGTAGTAGCTTGATAAAGGGCCTTTGCAGAAGTTGACAAAAAAGGGGAGACTTAGTGGGGTATTGAGCTGCTACACTACAGTTTCCTGAACACTATAAGAATTTTTTCACAGCCTCCGTTTGAAGTTTTGTGATACAGGAAAGCCGTCTCATATCTCCAAACCAAATCTCTGCCTCAAGCTGTTAAGATACTAAACAAATGCTCAGAATGTAAAATGTGTATTGCTGTATTTATGCTGTGTTTTTGTTGGTATTCATTAATAAATGTTTACATATATCTATCATATGTTGTTTGCATATCTAACAAAGCAACATGTTGTTTTGTTCACTGATTAAAGACTGTCAACGTGTCTATTTGCATTTTAAATGACATGCTTTGCTTCCTGAGAATGTACCCTCCACAAACTGCGTTGCAGAGACAAAGTTAGCGAAGTTATTCCTTGTACATGCAGCATTTGCATGTGTCTCTGTTGCAGGAATATTTTCTGAAGATTCTCATTTATTGTGCATTGGTTAGTAGGACACATTTTTCATTTGCTTGGTAAAGTTATAAAGTTACTAATGAGAGAGTTAAGCAAAAATTGTCATGTAACATTGTTGAACTCTTGCTTAAACAACCTCATGTTTTTTTTGTTGTAATTTGTTGCTTTAGAGAGTTGTTGCAAGTCATTGGTCATATGGATTCACACACATCAATAATACTGCTTTCCTCTTTTCAATGAATTGTGTCATTTCCGCTGTGGCATGTAATATTTGCCCTTTTGGCATTTTCAAGCTAACCTTAAATGTTAATAAAGTTTGTTGAACCCTTTGTTTTTTTAAAGGGCAGGGAATTCCAAATAACCACAAAAGTATATTACTTAGAAATCTGAATGATTTTTTTTTTTTATGCACGTGAATCTGTACATGTTTTTCACTTTAAAAAATAAGGCCATGTCTGCTGTAGGAAAACAGCAGTAGTCTCTGACCTTGGATAAAAATTAAATCTTTTAAAACTTGACTGCTAATGTCACAGTTGTTAATTTAAAAACTGACGGTAACAGAGTAGGCCAGACTTAACTAAGATTTTAGAACTTCATTAACATTCTCCTGTATTTGCATGTCCTTTTTAATGTAAAATATGACAGAATTCTTGTGCGGCGGTTTACACTGTTTTAAGTGCATCAGCATCCCAAGCCGTATCTAGGTTTTATATCTAAATCTTCACTTCTTTTGAACACCTGGTGAATATTAAAGGTTCGTTATGCCTTACAGTAAAACTAGAAGGGAAAAAATAAAAAGGTATGTCAAACAAATAAATTAAGAGCAACAAATCCAACTTAATATGATATAATGTACTCGTACTCATCATCTTCACTTTCATCCAGGATGGGATCACGGGGCAGCAGTCTCAGCAGAGACTCCCAGACTTCCCTCTCCATCCCGGTGGTATTTCCCGGGAATACCTCCCGAGGGAGGCGTCCAGGGGGCATCTGAAAAAATGCCACCTCAGATGACTCCTCTCGATGTGGGTGAGAAGCGGCTCTACTCCGAGCCCCTCCCAAGAGGCCGAGCTCCTCGCTCTATCTCTTAGGGAGAGCCCAGCCATCCTGTGGAGAAAGTTCATTTCAGCTTGTATCCAGGATCTTGTTCTTTCGGTCATGTTTCAGATTTCATTACCATATGAGGGTAGGAATGTAGACCCATGGGTAAATCGAGATCTTTGCTTTTTCATCTCTCTCTTCCCCATGACAGGCTGCTGCAGCATCTGGATTATAGCAGCAGTGGAACTGATCCGTCTATCGTTCTCCCACTCCATTCTCCCATCACTCATGATCATTACCCCCATGAAATAACATTAAATTAGGAATTCAGCCAATAAGTCTCCAAGAAAGTTGTTTCACATCTAAAGACCTTAAAACCTTAGCTTTGTTGAAGTGTTTTTTCTTAGTTATTAAAAAAAAATCAGATTTATTCAGAAAATACAGACAGAGTCGGGAGAGTACTTAATTTCCTTTTTTTTTGTCAAAAGAGGGACAAGCAGACAGATCTGTGAATAAACTAAAGCACATCAAATATATATACTAATATATGGCATTATTATGTGCTTTACTGTTAAAAAAAGAAATTGCAACATACTCAGTACAGAAAACAAATAGATTTATTGCCCAATGCTGAATGTTTTTCACTACAGCTCAGATTACTGTGGGCTGTTCTGGTGAAGCTCTGTGACTCACTTCACACTTTGCATTAACGTCTGTCTTTAGTCATTGTCAATATCTGTCACTTTGGGATCTGATTTCACTTCCTTACTTTATGTGCAAATTAGATCCTAATCTGCGTCATAAAGCCAACTACCTGGTGTATATTGTTCAGTGGATGTTTTTTGAACATGGCTGTTTAAAAACCAGACATTTACAAAAATGTTTCTCTCCTTTTTATCAAAGTTTGCCAAAAACAGCAAAAAAATAAAAAATAAATAAAATAAATGCATAACACCCAGGGTTGAATAACCTCATTTACAAAGAACCTCAAAAACATTAAAGCAATAAAAACATAAAATAAAATACATCACAGCATAGAGATAAGACAGAAAAACCAAAAAGAGTTAGATCAGCCAGTAAGATATACATGTAAGTGTTTTAGCTGTTCTTTAACAACATTAATGGAACATACTTGACAGACAGCAGGAAACTGTCTCAGCTCTGTTGCTACAACAGCAAAAACACAGTCGTCACTTCTCTCTAATCTTGAACTGGGTAAATAATGGAAAAACATGGATTCCGTTAAAGTCGATTCTTAATAATAACATAATTCTTAACCCTTGTTAAAGCCTTCAGGGCTAACAAACAATCTAAAAATATGGTTATGGTCATTTAATTCATGTTGACTATGCATTAGAAGTTACAGATGTGTATATATAATTACCATCAAAGGCCTAAAGAGTTCTTTTTTTATACAAATGTGGATATAGGGCCCTATTTGCCCCCATTAGGGCCATACTTAATTAACATGTCTGCTGTACTGCTCTGTTGTTCTCCATTGATTGCAAGGATGCTTACTAACCATCCCATCTTCAAGATGTTCAGAAGGCCATACATTAAACAAACCATACTGTCTATACAGCTAATGCGCTATTGGTAGTTGTCACAGTCTAAAATTTAGCTCTGTGAATCAGCACGACTTTGCTTGAGTGATTTATTATTTATTATTTAGCCATGATGATGACAGGAGTCTTGAAGGCTGGTATCATGTAATTGTTCCATTTTTGTATGCACAGAGGGCCATGTTCCATTTTCATCAACAGGATTCTAAATTCCCCATCTGATTGATATTTTCTGGAAATAAAAGAAACAAGTACAGGGAAAAATAGGTAAACTTTGTTGCATGAATAGGATTCCGAGAAGCAAAGAATACAAATTGAAATTTTAGACTGCTTACTTTCATTTGAAGCAAAATCTCTGCACAGAAGTGAATCACAGGGTTTTGTTAAAGGTTAAGTGACTCACTAGATTAATTTCAGTACTTCTTATATTTTCTTTCATTTTCTCTCGTATTTACATAAAATTTAAAGTATTTAAGGGTTAACTTCAGATTTCCTGTGTGAAAGTTTTATCTCAAGCTAAAATCTCTGAATTTTGTGTTTTAATTTTGCATTAAAAATTTCATGACTATCTTGAATTTAGGAGTTTATTACAGTATGTCCTGATTATGTTTAAACTTTGTATTGATGGAATATGAATCAAAACTGTTGCTTCTGTTAATATTTTGTGTTCTCCTCTGCAAATTTGGAAAGTATCCGTATGAAAACTTACAGTAGAAAATTCATTATAGCATAACAAGAGGCCTAAAAGGGTATATCTCTTCACTTTATCTAAAGGGCTGGACAAGAGGACCATTACTTTGAGATTCAGTCTTCTTCCTGTTAAAATGGAGGTATTTCTCTCCACTGTCGCTACAAGCATGCTTAGTGTGAGTGATTGCCTTGGAGTCAATGAGTCCATGCAATCAACTGGTTTTCCTTAGATCATTAAATCAATTTGACTGTATGATCTGGTGAACTGTAAAGTGCCTTGAGATGACATGTGTTGTGAATTTGGCGCTATATAAATAAACTAAATTGAATCGTATGACTGTAGGTCGATAAATCTGGATGGAATAGATTGAGGCATAATAAGTTTGCAACAAAACATTTCTACATGAAAAATTGTGACTGTAACTGTTAAACTCAATAAAAAGGTAATGCAAAAAAAAAAAAAAGACCAAAAAAAAAAACGTTTTTGAGGTTTGGGTGTGTTTAATGTCAGTTTCCTTCGGTTTCTATTTTATATAGATAAAGCCATGGAGAAACTTATAAAACTATAACTGAGGTATTATTAGTTTATGGTTGTGGTCCAAGTGTTTTATTTCTTTTATTTGTGTTTTTTATTATCTTTGTTTGCTTTTATTTTTATTTTATGATCTAGAGCACTTTTCCATCTGCTGATCTATCTATCTATCTATCTATCTATCTATCTATCTATCTATCTATCTATCTATCTATCTATCTATCTATCTATCTATCTATCTATCTANTCTATCTATCTATCTATCTATCTATCTATCTATCTATCTATCTATCTATCTATCTATCTATCTATCTATCTAATATTACAATAAACTTATGGTGCACATATCGAAGAAGTCGTATTCAAAATGGTTAGAACAAAAAGCAAAATTGAAACCAATCAGCGCTATAAGTTTCTCTTGTCTTACGCATTTGCCCTACGTAAACGGTGTATGTAAATTGCGTAGTGTCACGTAGCAACCACGCTAGCATTGAGAAAAGCTCCGTGGCAACGTTGTAGCAGATAGCGCCTATCCATGGACTGAACTATCTAACGCTGCGACCATAGCACAGCGTTACCAAAGGAAAAGGTAAAAGAGGGGCAGTTTGAACATGTAGCTAGTGTGTTAGACTTGTGTCTGCTCACTGCTTCTCTGAACAGTTACTCCCAAAACGCCAGCTAGCATTAGCATCTAGGAGGCGATAGCTGTACAATCAGAGCTACTAGTTCGCTGTAACAGCTTACCCCATAACCTCGGTTACACGTCAAAACTTTAACTGCAGTTAAAAAAACAACAACGTTACTATCTGTTAGTGCTGAAAAATGACTTATATGATAATATATATAATGATATAATGGCTCTGATGATTTTAACGTATGTACAACATCGGTGCAGTTTGACGTCCTCTAATTTGGTTTTAACTCGAAAAAATGTCGAAGTTAGAGCGATTTAGCAAGTAAATCCGATGTAAGATCCATATTAACGTTTAGTAGCGCGCAGGTTTTCTGAAGACCTGCTGCTGACGAAAATAAAGGAGGGAAAAGCTTGGTTTTGGGATCTAGGATTGAGGGGATGCTAGAGTATTTGTATTTGCTATACACCTATAAAACAAACAGTAACTATATAGTGAGCTGGTTGCAAATTCTGCCTCTGTTGGTTTTAAGGTGGATATAAAAAACGTTTTTCTTTAGGAAAACTCAACCATTTATACAGTGACAGTAGTTAAGAATGCTTTTTCTTTCTACATTACAAATTAAAATCTCCAATTCCTGCTGTCCTAATGCTTTAAAAGGACTTATGCCACTGTGTTTATTAGAAAATCTTTTATAATGCAGGTTCATTTTGCATTAAAATATTGTATGCATCTAGATTGATTTTTACAGCTTTCAACAATCACCTGATGTATATTTCTACTATTTGAGATCCTTACGCTCACAAACATTATTATGGGGTATTTACATGAGACAAAACAAAGCAAAAGAAACTCAGAACTGTAGGTCATATATCATATCATTTTGAAGTTTTTCTGATGTTTTGCAGTCCCAATATTATGCATTAATGCGTGGTTGTTTAATTCTTTTGCTTTGTCAACAGTAGTTCACAACTTTAAGCTGAAAGATGCCCCCCGGTTCAGATGACGCTCGGAAGAAGTTTGTTCTTACCACAGCTGGAAACTTCTTTGGTCTAAAGCCTTCATCTTCTCTGGCTGACAACCAAGAGCTGAATAACTTCTTGGACGATGGAAATGAATTTATCTTGTCTTTTACCAGGCATGATCATGACCTTCGTCTGTCTAATAAGGTAACCTGAAAAAGTACTGCTTAAAATATCTACAGAAGTAAAGTTTATAACAACAGCGTAGTCACAAATGTTTGTTTATTAAGGACTAAATTAATGAAGTGGTTAGTGGACCTCAATATCTATAATAGTTCTTTCTTGTTACATCCCTAGTCTTTACTGAAATGCCAAGGTGGTTTTGTTTCTTATGTTTTTCAACAGATCGAAGCTGTGGGTGACAGCGGAGAAAAGGTGTTGGTGTTCTTTAAACTGTATCCCACAGTTATTACAGAAGACAACCTAGATAGGAGTCTTTTGGTGTCGTCCATGTTGGAATCTCCTATTAACACCCTCTATCAGTCTGTAAAGCAGGTTTTTGCACCTGTACTGCTTCAGGTTAGCTTCTTTACATTTACAAAACAGTATAACATAAGAATTGGCTAAAAAAAAAAAAAAAAAAAAGTATTGTTGATAACAGTGTTAGGAAAAATAATCTCATAAATTTATAATTTTTTAAACACATTTTGAAACATTTAAGTTTTTGAATAATCCATCATTACTAAAAAAAATTGTTTTTTTGTATGCAAATATAAATACGTTTGTTTTTAAGTTTTATTCTAGAGTAGAGGACATGTTTTTTTGTTGAATAAGTCCTTATTTTCTTCTAGGATGAGCAGTGGCGCTCCGCTTTCGACCCTAAGCTCGCAAGTCTGCTAAATGAGCTGGAAACGGGCCTTGGATCTGTGGTTCGTCAATCCGGAGCTAAACCTTTTGCCAAGAAGGGCCACACCGAAGATGACATCCTGGGTATGTCCTCCTAGAGCCCTTTTATTAAAACTGTCATCTTTTTAGATCAATGTATACTGAAGCTATCTCATTTGTACTGTAGTTGTATATTTATTTATGCTCCAATTTAAAGTTCTGCTAACGATAATGAAGACTTCATTTTTCTTTCTTCTAGATAAGCAAAAGAAAAATATCACAACTCTTGGACAAATTGTAAACATTTAAGAAGTTATTATTGAGGAAATAATAACTTAATGAGCAAATATTTGCTTCAAACATTTTAAATTAGCAAGTTATTTTTGAGATCGGTACACATGGCAAGAAAACCGTGCCGATTTCTGCCTGATCCATCCCTTCTGAGAGCCCTTGATATCATGAACCTCTCCGGACCAATTGCTGGGGAGATATTCCGGCCATGTATTATTTGTAAAGTGACCTTGAGTGTCAAGAAAGGCGCTGTTAAATAAAATGTATTATTATTATTATTATTATTATTATTATTATTATTATTATTATTATTATTATTATTATTATTATTATTATTATTATGTGTGGTGTCTTCAGAGTGATCGGATCTGCTTGGTAGATCTGGTTAAACTTGATCTTTTGCAAAAAAAAAAAAGAAGTTTTAAAAGTGACATAAAAGTCCTAAATTACACAAAGAAGTTATCAATTCAGTTTAGGAAAGAAAATAAGTTATTTATAATTGGGTATGCAGATCAAAATAGCCTATTGTTTCAATATTTAATCATTTAAATTCTGATTCTAACTTGATATATATATATTTTTAAACCTGTTGCAGGAATCTTGACTCCCAATGATGAGTTCCAGTTTTGGGCAGATCTCTCTGAATCTGCAGAGAAGAGCAGTGTGAGAGAAAGGGCATCGTATTTCACTGAGCAGTTCAAACTAATACAAAAGGTATGAATGAAAAGCTTTTTTATTTTATACTACCAGTTTACAAAAAAAAAAAAAAAATACAAAAACCATAAATTGAGAATCTGAAATTTACTGTGCTACAATGTGATGTTTTGTTTTATTTAACATAGAAAAATATACAATCTCGAGAAGGATTACTTGAGATATATTTATATGTTTGTGTTTCCACTAGGAGTATGTTGGTCTTGATAGCTTGTCCATGTCAGACGTTGTGGATCTGGTGGAACAGAGCAAAGATGCCCTGGATGACGTTTGGAGGCAGACAGATTTCCAGCCCTATCCAGAAACACGAATGGTTCGGCTCCTAGACGTCATTGGTGCGACACCAGGCAAAACTGGCAACTTAAAATATAGAAGGCTGTTTTTTTTTTTTTTCCAGACAAAAGGGTGTTTCAGTGTGTTGATATTTAGACAATACGACTTTTCTTAGCTGAAACGGACGGTTTTTGAGAACTGAAACTGAGCTTTTTTTCCCTGGAACTGCTGAGTGTTCTTAACATATTGTGCTGATGCAGATTTTTGTTTTTAAATAAGTATGTGGTTTCTTAGCATGTATTCATCCCAAAGTCTAGTATACTGAAACCAATTTTATTCTCATGGTTGTACATGTGAAAGGTGGAGCCTTGGGGCGGTATGTCCAGAAGAAGCTGAGCGGTCTTAAGATTTTTGAGGAGCCATTTGTGCTGATGAGAGAGAACCTCAGGGTTGGGGTTTCCATCTGTGAGCAGTGGGTGGGAGCCTCTGAGCATTTAACCGGACAGGTATAAAAAAAAAAAAACGTGAATCACACACTGAATTATTCAAAGATTTGACCCCTTTAGAAAAAATAAATGGAATGAATGACCAAGTTATGTTTGAATTTTTGTTTTGATGTTTTCAGGTGTGGAAAAGATATGCTCCACATCCCTGGGAAGGGCAAAAACACTGTCCACAAACCCTTCAATGCCTTGCAAAGCGGCTCAATGAGGTAACATAAACCGGTTTGTTTAGGTGGCCTCTGATTGGACTATCTGAACAATATTTGTTTGGTTTGAAGTCTCACTTTTCTTTTTCATTATTTATTATCATTTTAGTTATTTTAATAATTTCTCATCAATTATTTGTGTTTATTTATTTTCATTACCCCTATTTCACTGTGATGGACTTTTTTCCCACTACTCAAATGTGCTTTTTAAGTAAACTTCTTATTACCTGCCATGCCTTTTGATTCAGAAACACTTCTCTCTTTCTCTTCCATATTCATTTCCCCCTTTTAACTTACTACCTCACTTCTCCACCTTTCTTTCTTCTTTTTATCTTTCACTTGAAATAATCCCAAAGCATTTTCTAAGAACCTTTTCTTTATATAAATATCAAGTGGAGCATTATAGCAAAAGCCTAAAGCTCGGCTTGTGAAAGCAAATCTGTTTGGCTTCTCCTTGGTACTTATACAACCATAGTGAGTGCTACTCTAGAGGACAAATCGAAAGAAAAAAAGGAGACTCTCAAGGCTAAAGCAGAAAATATGAGGAGACACTTTTACATTACTTGACATATTTGTGCTTTTTTCCTAAACAAAAATGAGGAAGAAACTATGAGCCATGATTATACCGTTCTAGAAGTTTTAGTTTTGTCACAAGAACTTTCCTCTGATTGGTCTGAGAAGGTTAAAACATGGAAATGATTTTAGAGACCAAAAGAGGTTTAAAATATCTGATCAAATGCATTTTCTTTTTATTAGCTTTTGTATATTAAAAAATGTACAACAAAGCAAAGTAGGATTTCTCTAAAGATCACACAGATTTGTTTGCAAAGCCATTGAATAAATAACATTTAAATAAATAAAACATCTCAGCAGAGTAACTTAAACTGCATAGTCTCAACAGTTAGCATCAGTCTTGTGATTCTGCTTTTATTGTTGAGGTACCAGTTGCCTAATAGTGGAAGTTGCAGCATAGCCATTTGATAACATGTAACCTGTTCACTCAGTCCAGTCAGGCATGACCTCAATACTGAATATTTATAGTCACGAAATTACAAGAAATTACTACATTTCTTTTTTACTTAGAAGCGATTGTCCATTTTCTGGGCTTCGTCATATAGATTAAGCAACTCTGCAGTTATGAATTACATTTTTATTCAGTGATGATAGAACTATCGGTCAAGGATCATTTCCAAGGATCATTTATACTCATTTACTGAAGTTAAGAACATTTGTTGAATCTGTTGTGGTGCATTTGTAAAAGCCCGTGGTAGGAGAAAAAGTACGAGAAATTAAAGACATGAATACAAAACTGTTGTATGAGGCCCATTGACTCCAGATGTTCTCTGTATCCTATACTGATGCCTCTTTTTGCATGGACATTCTAAGGAACCTAATCTAACTTCACAGTCAAGATTTGTTTCTATTGTAGATATTACTGATGAATATTTAATGAAAATAATTCATTCTGGTGCTTTATTTCTCCCTCTGCCAGGTGGTGGCTCTCCGCATGGTTCATGAGAAACTGCTGTGTTTGCTACCAGGAGGAAAGCAGCAGGCTTTGACTGCAGATCGGGTGTTTGAGCCTTTTTCTGGACTCAATCCTGTACATTACAACCCCTATACTGAGGTTAGCTATAGAATATGTGTTTATACTTGGTATTTAGTTATTCATCTTTTACCCCATTTAGCCATACTGATAGGTTCTATAAAGTAATCTTTGGATATATTTGTGTCTTAATTGGCATGGCTACTGGTTACCTACTGTAATTTTCGGACTATAAGCCGCGACTTTTTCCCCATTTTTCTAACTTGCGGCGTATATAACAATGCAGCTTATCTGTGGACTTTTACAGGTAAGGCCACTAGGGTAATACCTAAATCTATGGATTTTACCATCCACCATGTTGACGTCACATTTGCTTCAACACACAAGTACGGTAGCCGCGCGCGCGGGAATGCGGAGGTCCTCCGGAAGCAGACTTCTACCGCGAGTGGTACGAGACAGAACGACAGCGAGAAAGACAGACACTGCGAGCGCAAGACAGTTTGTGTTAAACATAAAAATGGTCCGGTGCGGCTTTTATATGTACAAATCATGCAATTTAACTTCTGCGGCTTATATTCAGGTGCGGCTAATAGTCCGAAATTATGGTAATCCTTTCATTGCTAAGGCCAAATTCCAAAAATTATGTAAAAGTCTCTAAAATGAAATAAATACATTTTCTTAAGATCTAAATATTAAATATAAATAACATAGGCGTTTTTTGTTATCATTTATAATTTACAGAAACATAATTTCCAGAGGAAAATGAAATGTATACAAAATAATAATAAACTTTGTCACTATGTTGAAGGCTTTTAGTAACCCGTAACCTGGACTGTTATCTCCGATGATGTCATATGGTAATAGTAAGGCCTTCATTCATAACCCAAAACAAGGTGAGGTGTCAAGATAAAACTCTCCAAATAGGGGAGGCCCCTCTTCTTTACTATACAGTACTTTCACTAAATACATTTTTAAATCAATACTGTGCAATAAATTGGTTGATAATAATAAGTTAATTAATTGTTATCAATGATGCATAAAATACCCCCACCACAAATTACCAAAACATGGGTTTCTGACAAACATTTTTCTGACTATTATAGGCTTTTCAATAAAGCTGTCCTTTAATTCACATTCCCTAATACCCATCCTCATGAGACATCCTCACTGACCATTTATGTGCCAATTTAACTTCCTGTCTCTGGTGTAAAAGCTCATATCCTGTCACACAGCCAGCTGACTGCTTTCCATTTTGCAGATGACTTGTTTGAGTGATACCATTAGTTTCACTTAGGAGAAGCTGGGGTTTCAAAACCATGGGTTTTGTTTTGTTTCTTGAATTGTTTGACAAAATAAAAAGACAGCGTCTATCACCACAATTATCATTGTCTCAAAGAGAAAGCAAACAGATCATCCCTCCTGATGTCACTGCTATTGATTTAAAAACAGGAAAACTTGTTGCTAAACTATTCATAATATATGTATTTATTTTAACAGCATCTTTCAAATCATGGTTTCAAAATAAAACAGAACATGAACATGAACCCTCTCATTAGAGATCAGTTAATCTTTTCATTTAATGAACTAGAGATCCCAGGCCATGTGAACTTTGGGATCATCTTGCTGTAATTGCATAATCAAAAGTAAATTTCCCTTAGGGGATTTCCTTAAGGTAGGACTTTCTGTTCCAGTCTGTTTGCATGCTTTCCCGATGGATTCAGTCCTTTTTAATACCACCGAATCTTTTACTCCTCATTCACAACTTGTTATAGGCTTCATCAGATTCTACTGATGAACATATTTCTCAGGTCAAACAGTCAGAGGTCGATAATATGTCTCTATTATGTGTGTGGCTGTGTCCTGTACAGCTGCTGCTGTCTTTGCTCTGCACCGTCTCACACTCATTCTGAAATAACAAATTACTGTTCACACTTCAGAGTGGTGGTATGACCGAGGGGGATTAGGAGGGTCAAGCTTTACCCTGCTTTCAGTCTGGACTAGTGTTGAAACTAACGATTGTTTTGCAAATCGGTTAATCCATCGATTATTTTTTCGATTAGTTGATTAATAATCAGATAGCAAAAGGTTTTAAAGAAGATTTTTGTATGAAATTAAACCAGGTGAAACAAAAACTTTCTCGCTCTGGATAGAGCAAATGCTTACATAATTTTTAACAATTCTGGTATAATAACTGCTCTAAGTGGGTTGCTCTGACAGCTAAAGGCATGTTCTACAGTCACTACAGCGATTAAACGATTACTAAATTAGTTGACGATTATTTCAACAAATTGATTAATCCGATTGATTGTTTCAGCCCTAATCTGGAACTTTCAATTGATCACCATCCATAATAAAATCATCAGGGAATCAAAAAGATGCTCTGAAGTGGCTAATTGTTCAATGCTTTGATTGACCTAATGCTATGATTGGCTAACTCTCATGGACTTCATTAATTAAAGCTGCTTAAGATTCTGAATATTTCAATCCCTATGTTGTGCTTGTTTTTTTTTTATTTGTAGCCCCTTTGGAGAGCAGCAGTGGTTCAGTTCGAGCGAGTAATAGCTCCATCAGAGCAGGAGGTTGCTGGCAGGCTAAAGAACTATATTGCTGATGTGCAGGACAACCCACAACAGGTATTGCAACAAATGACTTTATCACAGAATTTGACACATTAAGGAGAAATGATGGGACTCACGCTGTATGTTTGTTTAATATATAGCTGCTGCAGGTTTTTCAGAAACATAAGGAGTTAATCAGACGCCCAACAATCAGCAAAGAGCTCCAGTCGGAAAGAGAGAAGCTACTGGCTAAGCTTCTTGACTACATCAAGGGTATTTATTTTTCATGCTAAGCTCTCTTACTGCCCAATTACGGCTTTATAATGCTTTTACAGGGTAGAAAAGATAAAAAATGTACAGTATTTATAAATAAATGTAATTAACTATTGGCAAAAACTTGGCAAAACTAAGGAGAAAAAATAATGACTATAAACTTGTTAAAAACTGAATATAGCTGTTTTATTTAGAAGTAAAATAAGAAAAAAGTCCAGTATGAAAAGGAGATATTTATAATTTTACAGTCTGTCAGAAATGCTGTTATTTTATGTAAATATGTCTCAGTGTTCCTCTGCATAAGAGGAAACATAATTTTTTTTACCCATTGAACATACTGTATTATATATCACTCCTGCCTGCTTTGATCAAAAAATATTTGTGCAAAAACTGGGGAGTGAGTTCAGACAGTTTTTACAGCGGATCCTGTTTTTTACAGGCTCTTTTCTGTAATACCCTTAGAAATCCAATTAATCAAAGCATCTGACTCATAATGCAAACATTAGCTGAAAGCAAGTCCTTAAAGTGGATAATGCAGAGTGTACTTTCTAGTGAATATTGTTTTTCCTTACTGACTTTTTATTCTTTTTAATCTTTTAAGGCTTGAAGAATGACTTTGAGAGTCGATGCCACGGTGGCCCCGGAGACAAGAATGGGCCCCTTACTGGAAGGAATCTTCCTGAGGTGGTCAATAAAATTGTCTGGGTGCGACATCTCGTACACAAGGTAAATAAAGGTTTGCCTCTGCATTTTAGATGGGTTCATTAACAATCCAATACTATAGCTTATAAAAACACCTTATCAATGGCTAAAATGACATGAAGAGCTTTTCAGTTTTTTCAACTTTTGCAATAAAATAATCCATGTGGGTAAAGAGTCTCCTTTCTTTTAATCTTTTTGCTCTCTTGCACCAGGTGGAAGACTCTGTCCGCATTGCAGAGGCTCTGCTTTCAGACCTATCTGGTTTCAAGGGCTTCCTACGTTTCTGCGATGATCTACTAGAAATTTTGAGGGCGTATGAACAGGAGCAATTTGAAGACTGGTCCAGGGATATACTATCTGGATTGGCTGATCCCAGATCAGGGATAAGGTGAGAAAAAGTTGTACCTGCACTATAAGTGCCATTTTTTTTTAAATTAAGCATTTAAAATATTTATGTAGGGTTTAAAAATAAATGAACTTCATCTATTTTATTTTTCCATTAAAAAAACTGCTGTTTTGCAGCATAAATTTCCTTTTATATTTTTTACTTACTTTCCCATTTGTAATTGTGAATTTTATTTTTTTAAAGTTTTTATATAGCTAAAATCACACAAGTCTTAATAAGCGCGATTTTTACTCTGTGGAAGACATTAGAATTCTGCACCGAGCAAAAATGGGTGGAAGAACATTTAAAAGACGACATGATTCACGCCCAAACAACGTTTACCTTTGGTTGTAAAAGTGAAAGGTGAAAAGCCCTAATTTTCAGATTGTTGACTAAAGTGGGACAAAATCCTACCAACCAAAAAGCCGAATTTTGAAGAACTATTCCTGGGCTAAATCAAGATTATTACGGACCGACTAGATTTGGCCTAAAAATAATTTCTAGTGTTTGGGGTGTAAGAATCATTCATAAGATCTAAAAAATACCAATATAGTTGATTTATTTATGTTATAAAGGTGCCTTATAATATTTCTCATTTGTAAAGATAAGATGTAAGAATGGTCTTAATTTACATAATTTCCTAATTTTATCATGCACCATTTAATCTAACTTTGATAAACTGAAAGAAGCCATGTTTTGTGGTTCTTATTTTGGATAATTTGCTGTGTTCAGTTTGAAACAGGTACGGTTTTCTGTTGTCATGTCTCTTAATTGCCTCCCTCTCTGTTTGCAGTCTTCAGGCCAGTAACCGGGTCATGGAGCTGGACCATGTAGATGGCAGGCTGAAGATCCAGTACTCAGACAGATTGGTTAGTCTGCTCAAGGAGGTCAGGCAGCTTTCAGCTCTGGGTTTTCCCATCCCAGCCAAGATACAGCAGGCGGCTAACACAGCCGACAAGTTTCACAGGCAGGCCATTGTTCTGAAACAGGTGAGACAACGGGTTAAGGTCCATAATCTCTGTTTATTTACAAATGTATGCAGTTTGTTTCTGTGAACTGAAACAAAGTATCGGTGTGTTTTAGGTAGCCCATTTCTACAACACAATCGACCAACAAATGATTCCTTCTCAGAGGCCCATGATGCTCAGTCTTGCATTGGCCTTTGAGCAGGTCATTAAGGTAATGAGGACAAAAATGGAAGGAAATGACCTGTATTCTTCTTCAGGTCCTGAAGATTACTTCTCAATGCATGTTCAAAACAGTAGTTTTTAATGTGTAATGTTAATCTTTAATGCTTTTTACAACTTATATTTTGAAGAAGGGAGCAGTTACACAACTTTAAACTTTATCCTATGATTTTGTGCCTTTAGATTTTAATGGATCTGTTTTATTTTTTCTTTTGTAAGAACCACCGTTCCCAGTCAAAAGAATCGGATAGCAAACTCCAGATCACCTGGGATAATCCAAAAGAGTTGGAGGTTTACATTGGGAAGTTGCAGTCTGCTGCAGAGAAGCTTTCCACCGAGAACAGAAAGTTGCGAAGATGGCACACTGATTTCATCGATAAGGTGGGAGCACAGAGGAGGACTCACAGTACTTTGAATTATTACCAGAAGCACCTGTTTTTGAAACCCGTTATTTTCCTGCTTAGTTAGATACTGTTAACTTCTTTCTGTCCGCCCTTCTGGGTCTATTTCTCAGGTGGTGACGCTCATGAATGTGGATTTACTAAGACACCAGCAGCGATGGAAAGATGGCCTCCAGGAACTCCGCACTGGCTTCGCCACTCTGGAGGCTCAGGTATTTATAACGTCACAACCATTTTTACCACAGTTTCTACTAAAATCGCTTTTATTTACCTGTATGTGAACTAACATTTAAACTAAAAATTAAAGGTACATATTTAAGTCTAATGAAACAGTTATATGTCATCATATCAAACTTTTAGATGCATCTGGTCTCCAACACATTTAAATTAAATGAATGGCTCAGTGCCAGGCCTCTGCAGTGCTGAAGGACACAGCAGTGCTTAGAAAATTCAGCCATTTAATTGTGGCATAGCATGAATGCAGCTGCAGTTTAAGTGATATTCAGGCCATAATGCTCGGACCATTTTATCATATAATAACAGCTCCTGTTGAGGAACTGTATAGGATGGTAAATAAACTTTTATCATGTTATAGAATTGGTGGAAACAAACAAACCTGTGTTTGTGTCTCTCTTTGTGTGTCTAGGGCATCAGGTGTGATGACATGCAGGCTTGGCGTCAGCACTGGAACCATCAGCTCTACAAGGCTCTGGAACACCAGTATCAGACTGGGCTAGAAGCTCTGAATAAGAACTTGCCTGAGATACAAATCGATCTGATTTTCAAGTCAGTTTACTTTAAGCTTTGCCACTTTCAGTCTCACCCCACCTTCTTCTTTTCTTTTCCTATGGGATCTTACTGTATACCCCTCCATCACTAAATCACTCATATGACTTGTTACTTGTCCTCCCACCTGAATTCAAACACATTAATTTCACCATTCTTCATTTTCTGTTTAACTCTTTCTCTTTAATAAATATATTTTTTTTTTGTAAATTTTGCTGCTGTATATAATAACCTGTGATTTCTTATATATGATTCTAAACAGGCAGGGCCGTTTACAGTTTCGGCCGCCGTTCGAAGAGGTGCGAGCTCGATACTTCAGAGAGATGAAACGTTTCATCTCCATCCCAAATCAGTTTAAAGGAGTCAGCATCCCGGGGGAAGAGCTTATCTTCAACATAATGATCGACAGAAATGCCTCTGGCTTCCTTACCATTTTCAGCAAAGCTGAGGACCTCTTTAGCCGCCTGCAGGCTATGCAAGATAAGTTCAAGGTGCTTTACTACAGCAGAATTTTGACTGTTAAAATAAAAGAAAGCTGTTGTAAAAATGGCTTGAATACAAGTGTTAGGGCATCTGCTTACTCAGATTTAAAAGTAGAAGTTTGTCTAATTTTTTTCTCCCCCTTCTCTAAGTAAGAAGTTGAAAAGTGCTATAACTAATTTGATTTCTTTGAAAGAATGAAACTTTGATCACTCATGCTTCTCCATTTATACATTGAAGTCCTGTTGTTTTTACTGTCAGCATTTTCCCCCAGGCGTCCCCCATGGGGACAGGGTTACTCTCTTGTCACTTCTGTCAGTAGCTATGCATATCTAAATCATGGGGGGAATCCCTTTGCCGACCTCATACTTCTCTATTATCCCCCTTTAGTTCAGTTTTTGTTTCGTCATTTTTGGTTCATGGTAGAGTGTTCGCTTTCTGTCACCTTTAACACGAACCCATTTAAAAATAGGAAATATGCTCTGTAGCCACTGACATTTATCTACGTTTCTCTAGGAGTGGGTGGTGCTTGGCCAGGTTGATTTAGAGAAGTTGGTGGGGAAGCATCTCACTTCTGTGCAAGACTGGGAGAGAAATTTCAAGGCCCTCAAAGCCAGAGGAAAAGAGTCAGAACGCCTCCCTAGGTACATATGAGAACTACCGATTTAATCGGCCTATAAATTGGACCAAATAATATTAAATGGATAAAGAATCACATTAAAAGTGGGAGTGGAGTTAGTATCTAAAAAGAAAGTTAGCATAATATTAACCAGGTCTCCCCTGTCTTTGACAGTCAAGAGAAGGTAGACTGTATTACAGTCAATTGTGAGCCTGTAAAAACGACCATCGATGACCTGATCCAGAGATTGTTTGACATGCTGCTCTTATCACTAAAGAAATCAATACAAGGTACCCTTACACACATTTGCCCTTCAGTCATTTCAGTTGCATATATTTGCATATATCTACTAATTTTCTTTTCTTTCTCTGTTCATGAAATGGGCTATTCCCCTGAACAATCAGATTTTTTTTTTTACCTGTATCTCTTTTCTTCCTTAATTTCAGGCCACACACAATCCATAGAAAGCTTCATTTCAGAATCAATGGAAGTGCTCGCAACGCGACCAGAAAGCATGGAGGAGATTGCTGCTGCTACTGGCAAATACAGCCAGATTGTCGCTCGTAAGCCTGAAGTAAGATTTGACGTCACCCAAACCTTGCTTAACCTGAAAAATCATTTTAAAAGTCCTTTTTTAAAAAGCTTTTTAAAGCCTTTTAGGGTCTCCTAAAGGCAAATATATGTGTTTTCACAAGACAGGGATGGGCTGCTGCTCAGACAGCTTTCTCATGGGATTACTCAGAGATGCTTAATTTGAGCGAATCATCACTTTGTGCATCAATTTGATTGAGAGACCTGAAAATAAAGTTAAAAGTTCATAAAGGTTGATTTGCCTGATATAATCCTTAAATAACATGGAAATGTATGCACCCTAAGTTAGTTGTACAGTGGATATTAGGATTCGTAAACATTTCGCAAAATTAGACAGTGATTGTTTTTTTATTTTTGTTATGATATATCAGACTTGCAATGTAATGTAAAATATCTCAAGCGTCTGAAATCCCGTCTATAAAAACGTTGTATTTGGTGTTTGTACCTAGATCTTGCCTGAGTTCCAGTTTGCTGAGGAGAAAAACCGTCTTCTCCGCACTGTGGCTGGTTCAGGTCTGGACTCATTATCCTCTCTGAGGGCCAAGTGGGATAAACTAGAACTCGTCATGGAGAGCCATCAGCTCATGATAAAAGATCAGGTGACATCAGCTACACTGTGTTGCAATTTCTTTTCTGACACCTACAATACCCTACTGAAATATTGACATCCTTTAAAGTTTTATATATATATACATATATTATTTCTCAATAAAAGGTAACACTTACATAACATATTCTAGATCTAAATGAATGAAACGTTCTCATTGAATATTATATATAATACTATATATAAGCTGAATGTGCTGACAACAAAACTCAAACAAATCCTCAAAGGTATTACCAATTGAGGCATTGATTTGGAGTCTCACACAAAATTAAAATTGAAAAAAACACTAGACGCTGATCCAACTTTGATGCACTGTCCTTAAAATGGGTCAAAATGAGGCTTAGTATTGTGTGTGGCCTCCATGTGCCTGTATGACCATGCTACAACGTCTGGGCATGCTACTGATGAGGTGGTGAATAGTCTCCTGAGGGATCTCCTCCTAGACCTGGACTAAAGCATCCACCAATTCCTGGACAGTCTGTGGTAAAACGTGATGTTGGTGGATGGATAGTGATATGATGTCCCAGATGTACTCACTCGGATTCAGGTCTGGGGAACAGGTGGGCCAGTCCATAGCTTTAATGCCTCCATCTTGCAGGAACTGTGACACTCCAGAGTTCTAGTATTGTCCTGCATTAGGAGGAATCTAGGGCCAACCACTTGAGCACATGATCTTGTAAGAGGTCTGAGGATCTCGGTACCTAATGACAGTCATGCTACCTCTGGTGAGCACATGGAGCACTGTGCGGCCCAAAGAAATGTCACCCCACTCCATTAGGGAGCAACTGCCAAACCAGTCATGCTAAAGGAAGTTGCAGACAACAGATAGCTCTCCACTGTGTACCGGCTCTTTCATGTCTGTCAAGTGTTCACTGTGAACCTGCTTTCATCTCTGAAGAGCAAAGGGCAGATTGGCAAATTTGTCAGTCCTGATGTTGTCTGAATTCCAAGCATCCTCCATGGTGTGTTGCTGTGAGCACAACCCCATCTCTGGACATCAGGCCCTCCTACCATCCTCATGGATTTGGTTTCTGACCTTTTAGGCAGACACATGCACATTTGTTGCCTACTGGAGGTCATTCTGCAGGGCCCTGACAGTGCTCCTCCTGTTCCGCCTTGCAGAAAGGCAGAGGTAGTGGTCCTGATGCTGGGTTGTTGCCCTCCAAAGGCCTCCTCCACGGCAAACCTTGCCACAGCTCACATTGATGTGGCATCCTGAATGAGCTGCACTACCTGAGCCACTTGTGTGGGCTCAGGTAGTGCAGCTGCAGAACCACTCCTTTATGGAGTGTGTCATGCTAATGGCATTATTTCCACCTATTGTCTATTCTATTTGCACAACAGCATGTTAATAAGATTGCCAATCAGTGATGCTTCCTGAGTGGACAGTTTGATTTAACAGAGGTTTGATTTAATTGAAGTATTATTGTTTTGTTTACGTGTTCCCTTTTCTTTAGCAGTCTATATATAGACTGTATATGTGTATAGAAACTAAATCCTCAAATTTAACAAATATTACTTTATGTTGATTTATTCAAGTAAAATCTTATTAGAGGTCCTAGTTGATGGGAATAATAGTTCCAGTCATTTTGTGTTCTAACAGGCTGTGTTTCTGCTCCCTTTGTATACATGCTTACGTGTTTCTTAGGTGGAGGTGATGCGAAATCATGCATCTGCTCGTATTAGTGCCTACATGGCAGATTTGGAGCGCTTCAAAGCCCGCTGGGACCAACTAAAGCCTAAAGATGAGATGCTTGAAACTGGTGATCATCCTGCCTTGCTTGCCTGCCTTCAGACCATCAGAGACAAACAGCAGGAGTTCCAGGAGATGGAGCTTATACGCAACAAACTGCTGTAAGTTTATTGGAGTCTGCTGAATTTATACTCTTCTCATTTCAGTATGGCTCAAGAGAATTTTAATACAGTGTTATTTTACGAATCCCTCCATTTTTGCAGTGAAGACTGTGCACATTTTAATTTGGAGCCTCCAGATTTCTCTCTGGCAGAAGAGACAAAAAGAGACATGGATGAGCATAGTCAGATGTGGGGTCTGTATGAGGAGTGGCACCAAGGCTTCACAGAAAAGGCCCAGGAGGATTGGATCACATTCAGGTTTGGCTGCTAAAGTGGATCCTAAAGCTATGCTATGGTCCTTAATGTATTGAATTTATTCCTCATGGATTTGTTTTCTGTGAAATACAGGAGTAAAACTTATGTGTTTGAGGAGTTTCTCTTTGCATGGCAAGACCGGTTGAGAAAACTAGAGAAACCAACAGTCATGTCTGTTAAACTTCAGGGAGAAGTGGACAAATACAAGGTATGTTGGGAAGAAATATCATCGTACCATGTTTGTTCTTTTAAATTCTTCTTCTTAATCAAATGCATTTTTTTGTGCTAAGAAGTTTAGAGTTGTGCAGTAGGTTGTATTGTGTTGTTAGGATTTATTTAATGGAACAACATGGTTAAGTTTTGAGCATCTTTTATGCTGAAGTCCAAACTTTTAAATTTCAGCATATTTAACTTTCACCACACTATAGTTGATTTATTTGCTTTCTCTTTACTATTAAAAGATTCTTTTTGAGCTTTGGGCTTGGAATAGATTGTTAATGGTCTTTACAGGAGGATAAAAGTTATCATTCTTATATAATTCAGCTAAACATTCTGTGCTAAGATTTTTAGTTTGGATGTTTTATCTGTTTGGCCAGAATATGGTACCTGTACTGAAGTATGTTCGTGGAGAGCACCTTTCGCAGGACCATTGGTTGGACATGTTTCGTTTGCTGGGTCTACCCCGAGGGACCACCTTAGAGAGACTTACCTTTAATGACCTCCTGGGAGTGGCACACACTATCTCAGAGAAAGCGTTGGAGCTCAAGGTTTGTGAACAAGATCATTGTAGATAATATTTACCGATAAGATCAAAGTAAAGTGTGAAATTATTTTTAGTACCTTTTAAAAACAAATACATGAATCAAATATTGAGTATTTAAGTATTTCCTTGGATTTTCTTAAACTGTCCATGGCCCCAGAGGGTAGAGCGTATGAATGACTAAATGTAGTTTGAAGGGATTTGCCATTTAGTCAAAAAGGATGTAGATTCTCAGATGTTGTAGTGGACTTAATTGTTATTTCTATCCTTTAATTACATTTTAATTATATGAATAGAACGATTATTTACTATTACTTTTTTTTATCATTAAATGATTTTATCAAAAAATGTTTAATAATGAAAACATACATTTTTGATTCCTTTATGAAAGCCTTGGGCCGGCCCCAAAACTGGCGTCGGCTCACCGGGACTATGCCCCGTATGCCCAATGCCCAGTCCAACCCTGTTTAGGACTCAAGACTTTTGCCGACTCAAACAGACTTTCCTACAGCTTTACTTTCTGAGCAGTCTCTCTGTCCTGATCAAAGAAAAGCTTGACCACTGCGTGGTGGCGAGGATTTACCGTCATGCATTGGTGATGATTTCATTTTAGGGATGCTATGTGCAATGATAGCTTTCCTCAAAAGGTTCAGGTTTGTTTTGGCTTCATCTGATCAAACTATCTCCCACATGTTTACTGTCCCCCCCCCCCCAGATTTCCTGTGTTAAACTTTAAACAAGACATTTTTCTTTCAAAATTGGCTTTCCACTCTTCCACAAATCTGACCTTTCAAAAGGTCAGATTTGTGGAATGCATGCTAAGGGTTGTCCTTTTAACAAAGTCTCTTGAGCCGTGAATCTATGCTGCTCCTCCAGAGTTAGTTATTAATCTTCAGACTCCTCTGGTTGATCCTGTCTTGTCCAGGGCTGGTGGATTGCCATGTGCTGGTGGATTTATAGTCCTTCCCTACTCTTGCCTTACTATGGACTAGTAAACCAGCTCCATCCCCAACCCTTCAGCCATGTTGTTCTCAATCTTTATGAGCTATTTGTTCACTTATGTTACACGTGAAATAGAAATACACGCCACTCCTTTTCAGATTTTTTTCTTTTTACTATACTAAAGGGACCAAAATAAACTCAAGTAAGTAATTATCCACGTCCCAACCAGGCTACATAATGATCTAGTTGGGGTTTTTCAAAACTTATTGAGCCTAGTGATGATGTGAATTTACATCTTTTTATCTCTTTATTTTATGCTCTTTTAGAAGCAATAACCCGTGAAGTTCTTTTCCTTTTGGTATGCTTTTGGTATTGACCACAGGATCTGAACAGTCGTGCTCAGGCAGAGGTGTCCATCCGAGAAGCCCTAAGGGAGCTGGATCTGTGGGGCGCTGCGGCCATTTTCACTCTCACTGAGTACACAGACAGTAGTGGGCGCACGCTAAGCCTGATCAAAGACTGGAAGGATATCGTAAATCAGGTACACATTTTAAACACGATAGTTGATTTAAATGGATGTGTGTGCACATGGTTTATACAATATATATAAATAAATAAATGAGGCAACACAGAGATTAAGATTCCTTAAACTTAAACTAGAAATTAGTTCCTTACGCTTAAAAAAAAACTGCAACTATAAACCATATTGTGGATACTAATTTACATTTGTTTACTGACTGTGTTGCTTACATTTTTTAAGTAGGTATCAGGTTCGGCTATTGACTTATATGCAAATACTGACAGGTTTGACCAAACATTCCACTCTCTTGCACCTGAAAATGCAGCATGCAATCGTACTTTTGGGATTCGAATTAACATTTTGACATTTAATTTAAGAAGAAACCACTATTATTACAGGCCTTCTTCTTGTTTGTTAGATAAGTTTTTATGCTGGGCAAACTTTAGCACTGGCCTTAATTTGCTGTTTTCTAGGGAGAAATGGAGTTTACAAAAATATCTTGAGGGAAATGCAGGCACATTATTATGCATTAAAATGTTAAGCCTTAGCTAACCCTGGTTTTATCACCGTGCTCTGTCTATGCAGGTGGGAGACAACCGCTGTCTGCTGCAGTCTCTGAAAGACTCGCCCTACTACCGCAGCTTCCAGGACAAGGTGAGATGGTTGGAGGCTTCAAATCTGTGGAGAGTTTTCATTGTTGACCTGTCAATCATAAATTTGTTTTTGAGATTGGACAATTTTTACAGATCTTAAAGTGTTTAAGTGGCATCGAACAAGATTCCAACATTGTGGCCTTGTCTTCTCAGGTCAGCCTGTGGGAGGTTCGACTGTCAGACTTAGATGAGTATCTGCTCAATCTCAATGCCATCCAGAGACGCTGGGTTTACCTGGAGCCTATCTTTGGAAGAGGAGCATTGCCTCGAGAGGAAACACGTTTTAAAAGGGTTGATGAAGACTTCAGGTATTCTGTGTTTGGATTTGGTTCACAACGTTTGTCTCAAATTAACTTTGAAACAATATCTTTAGGTCCCGCTTTCTTTTGCCGTGTCACTCGTGTGTTTGTGTTTTTGTTATAGAAAAGGGACAAAATCATAAGAGTGGATAATATATCAGGGATCAAGTTTTGATACTAGCTGGTTTTTCCTGGTCTTGGCTTGATGTATAATGTATATCCTTTGGTCTTGGTATCGTTTTTGTCCGTCATTAATAACTTGTATGAAGGCTGGTTCAAGACTTTCTGGTATTCTTAAATAATGATAATAATAATAATGATACAACACATAACTTCCTTTCACCTCCAGACACATACAATGCATCATAATTATTGTAAAATGAAATATTTCCACATGGCTCTGGTAATCCATCGTCCTACAAATGTGACTACAGTACTCACGGTTTTTGTCTTTCGTTGTCTCCTATTGGCTGGTATGAATTATATTGTCTCTGACGGTTTGACAGACGTGTCAATTAATCATATATAGTTCGAACAGACTTTAAGAAATATGCACATAATTTGATCTCATTGGAAAATCACCCTTAAATAATATTAATTTATGAAATATATTGATATACCCCAGATGTGTATTTTTAGGAGCAGTATGGTTATGAGGACAAGTAATATACCAGTTGGCAGCATTTTCTTATGTTGTAATTTTATTTAGATTTATTTCGATTTATATTTGGTAAAAAACACTTTTTTTTTGCAGAAAAAGAAACAAGTTTGCACTTTAACAGCTCGTTATAAATCAGCAAATTTTCAGGAATATTGGCAATACATTGCAATATAAATATATTTTTTAGGTTATTGTAATCGTGTAAAAGTATAAAATCTACTTCCTTAAAAGGACACTTTTTAACATTTTTTTTGACAAAAAAAAGAAAAAATTTTGTTTTGAATATGAAATAGATTTATAACTTTGTTTCCTAAATTTCATCACATGATTATTGCACAATGTAAGAACTAAGTTTAGGGAATGTGTTTTTTCTATGTGGCTACATTTAATAACTTCAATATTAGTTTATTATGACAAGTGTAATTTTAATAGCAAGAAGTAATTTTGGTGTTTAATCCAGTGATTAATTACCACGTTATATTCATTTTTTCATGTCTGTCCATCTGCCCATCTACATTTCTCTATATCTATATGCATTTTAATGGAAAGAACTCCCAAAACAATTTGTCCACTTATGCAACAGGTCTATAATGTCAGACATCCAGAGAGACACCAGAGTAGTTTCTTTGAGCTCGCGGGCTGGCGTCAGAAACTCCCTGGTCAACCTACTGGATCAGCTTCAGCGCTGTCAAAAGTCCCTAAATGAGTTCCTAGAGGTACACATGCACACCTCACTATTCAAATGCATTTCTTATGGTTATCCAGCATTAGAAGAAATTACTAATTATTTTCATGGTTTTTGCAGGAGAAGCGTTCTGCTTTTCCACGGTTCTATTTTATTGGAGATGATGACCTCTTAGAAATTCTTGGACAGGCAACCAACCCAACTGTCATCCAGTCCCATCTGAAGAAACTCTTTGCAGGTCAGCCACCTCTGTTAAACCTCTGTTTATTTTTGCAACCAGCTCTGTTATGTCCTTTTTTTTTGCTATGTAACTTGGCATTATTAATTAGACACTTGCCCTAATCTGTATGAGTGTTATTTTGCAGGCATCCACAGTGTTTTGTTTGACGAACCACGGCAGAACATTGTTGCAATGTGTTCTTTAGAGGGAGAAGTAGTACAGCTAAGAAACGTTGTGCACATCTCCAGCCTTGTTGAGGTATATAATCTTCTAAAACATTTAAATAGGCAATAACACATGATACATACCTGTAGTTTAATGTAAAAACAGCAAACTTTACAATCTTCCTTCTTTTAAGGTTTGGCTGAGCGAGCTGGCCATGGAAATGAAGGAAACGCTGAAACATCTGCTGAATGAATGTTTGTCTCTGGGCAGGAAAGGGGAGGTGGATCCCTCACGTTACCCTTCACAGGTCTAAAAACGTTTTTAAGTAATGCCTAAACTGTTTTAAAACAAACTACCTAAATACTCAATCAAGTTTAGGAGCGCTTAAAGTGCTTTTAGCTTTACATTCTAATGGACGGATATGTTTTGTGTGTTATGTAGATTCTCTGTTTGGCTGAGCAAATTCAGTTTACTGACGATGTGGAAAACGCTATAAAAGAGCAAACTTTGCATCAGCTGGAGTTGGAGCTTAACAGTAAACTGGAGCACTACACCACAGTGGAAACAAGTTCAGATGATCATCCTAACACAGGTTGGTTGGTTCTGCTAATATTATTACAAAAAAAGTTCTTGGCTTTTTTGTTTTTTGTTTTATTCCAGCAAACAAAAAAATGACATAACCTGAAATAAAGCCCTTCAAAGTAAAGGAAGTTTAAACAAATGATAGATTTTAGGTAGGCACTCCTGTTGGATTTGAATGGCTCTCTTTTGTTCATCCCCTTTTTCATTAAACTTGCAGTACTTTGGTTCTGTAATTTCTTTCCTCTTTTCTAAATTCATTGCAAGAATTTGTTCAAACAGTTTGTTCCGACCTCTTTCTCAAACATAGGGAAGAAACTCAATTAAGCCCATTCTTGAATTGCTAAAGGTATAGGGGAGGATTTCCCCTAATTTTTAAAAAATAATTCACATACACAACCCTGTAACTGCTCCGATGAGGGAACGCCTACTAAATGTGTGCGAGAGCATGCACAAGCCCATTTGTCCTGGTGCACACTTTAAAAGTTGCTGTTTGCATCTACTTCTTAAAATAGCATGCCAAATTTTACCTGTCGAGTACAAACTTCGCAAACCAAGGCATCAGTGGGAGGCTGACCTGTGCTTCAGTGTACGCCATCGTGTGAAGTAATCTCCTACAAACCCTCTGATCTTGTTTCTCTCTTCTGAGGCCTTCTCTTCTTGTCACACACTTCGTAGACACTTTTTCTCTTACGACCCTCTGACATTTTCAAAGAACCGCGGTGAGAAAGGTGAGCTTAAATGACTGTCTGAAACCGTAGCTCACCACAGATATATGCCTGAAAGTGTGCATGTGCATAAAAACATAGTTAAAGGGACGAGCACGTAGGACGGCTTTACGTAAACGTATCACCAAAATGACTGACAGTTAGGAGGACCACCTATTTAGATGATTCAACTGCAAAAAAAAACAAATCATCCACTATACCTTTAACACCTTTTTTTATGTTCTCACTTTCTTTATCTATTTTTTGTGTTGATTTTAATTTTTGGAAATTGATTTGTGGAATTAATGACTTATTATTGTAATTCTTTATTTTATGATTGTGTGGAACTTCAAGAAAACAAGATCTCTATTTAGTTACAGTATAAAACATTTTTTTGTTTCATTGGAATTTGCATGATTTAAAAAAAAAAAGAAAAGCAATAGAATAAAAAAAAATGTCAGTTTGATTTTTTATTAATTTAGACAGAAACAGTGAGAAACTGTCTTTTCTTATATTTCTTTTCCTTTTGCAGTTTTAACCGATCTTACTCAGATTGAGACATTCTGTTTGGTTTGCACAGCAGATTTGAGATGAATTCCTCTCGAAGGATCTTGTGTGAATTTCTTCAGAAGGGCAGGGCCATTTTAAAGCTTTGGCTTCAGTTGCAGACTTACAGATTTAATGACCCATGGCTGGAAATATGGACCCATAAAGCAAGACAGATTTGTTTTCTTTCCCTCAGAGCTCAAATTTACAAAAAAAAAAGGTTTTTTTTTCTTTTTTAATGTGAGTTTGTTATTCATGCATCAGATGAAATATTCCACTGCTCTCGTAGTGCCATCATTTTATGGTACATTGCTTATTTTTATACTTTCATCTGTAAAGTGTTACATGGGGCTATTTTTTTCCACGGTTGAAAAAACTTCAAAATGTGCCAGTAGGCATGGTTATACAGGATATTTCTATGTAATTTATTGAAGAATTGCACTCTACATTAGGCTTATAAGATGGTCACAGATAACAAGGGCCATTCTGTGGATATTTTGCACTTAAACCACAGCTAACCATGTATAAAATGTTTTCAGGGTATCATCTCATTACATTACACTAAATCCCTTTAGTATGAGTTAGAGAGGCTGTGGACTGGTCACAGTAATTAAAGTAATGCCAGAATGGGAAATCTAATCTCTAGATTTACATAAAATGCTTTAAACCAAAAAGGAGAAGGGGAACTTCTTCTTCCTTTGCCCCAGAAACGAAACAGGAGGGTAACTAGACACCTAGTTTATTTCATGTTCTTCCATTCATAGGTTTAAATGAATGATATGTCTCTTTTTAAAAATGACTAACACAAAATATGTCTCTGTTTTTTTCCTCGAGAAAATGAATTGTTTTGAGATGAAAATAATTGTTTTATATTAATTTTGTTTTTTTGGTATTAATCTGTGCTCAGTGATAAACGTGTGTGAGTCATTAGACAACATGTAAACAAGCTGTTAGTCAGAATTAAGCTCAATTTTTGGTGGAAACATTTAGAATCAGGAAGTTGCCAAAGAGAAATGCCCTCCTGGCAGAGCATTTGTTTTGCATACAATATTCTGCTGTATTAGTGGGGCTTAGTGACCGTCTTCAGTCAGAGATTACTGTGTTCTCTTTCAGCCTGTTTACCAAACATATCGCTTGTTCCTCTGGGCGGGTTGGGGACTCCACCACCCTCCAAATGGTCTAAAGTGAAATCCTCTGCTTTTTATGTCATTATATTTGACAATAACAAGCTCTCCATCTCTTTCAATCGTGGCTTCTCTCTGTATCTACTTCATTCACATTTTCTATGCCTTAATGGTAGATTCGGTTTAAAACTTCACATCAACTCTTGGTCAATTCCTGTTTTATTTCAGGATCATCTGAAGAGATGCATTAGTTAAGTGGAAAGTTGATTAGCTTTTGTTTCATTTTCATTTCTTTTTTCCTGATTACTGAAATGTATGAAAAATAATCGTTTTTTTGTACAGTTAAAATGTATCCATGTTTGGTCCACTAATTCATTAGGTTTCTTTTAGCTTCAAATTCTTATGGAATAGTAAAAAATTACAATTAGCCTACAAGAAAAAATAAATTGGAATGGCTTTCAATAACTCATTACTGAAATCATTTAAAAGTAGCCTTTTATATGATAAGTAAAAAAAAATTCTCTCTTCTTCATTTTGCTTATTACAAAACAGAGAATTGTTTATGAACTATAGTTTTATAAAGTACTCTTACAACCTGTGGGTCACATAAGTTAAATAAAGGATATAAACTATTTTCCTGAAAACCAAAAGATTATGTTTAAATTATGTTCTCTGATATGATGGTGGCTGTTTGTTTATACTCATGGTAATATTCATGATTGTCTCCCATTTCAGAGTCCAGTGTGCTGCAGCTGAAACTGAAAGCTTTGATTTTGGATATCATTCACAACATCAGCGTGGTGAAACAGCTTAACCAGGCAGGTGTCACCAGAACTGACGACTGGGCCTGGAAGAAACAACTCCGCTTCTACATGGGAACAGACAAAAGTTGCCACATACATATGGTGGATGCACAGTTTAGTTACACCTACGAATACCAGGTGGGATGACAGGAAATTCAAGTTTGCTCACCGCAATATATTTACCAAAAGATGCACAGTGATTTTGTTGCTTAATCTTTTTTTACAGCATTAGAAATGGTAATTACTTTTTTGACCTTTTGGAGGCAGTGTTTACACACATTACCAGCTCCAGATGTACCTTGCTGCAGAGAACTGCAGTTCTCCAACACATTATACTCTGTCTTACTCTTTGCTTGTCCTTTTTTCATCCCTTCTGTTCTGATGCACCTCTCTTTACCTTTTAGCAATTGCTGACTTCCCTTTATACCTCCAATGCCCCTTTGTTTACATTTTTACTTTTATCCATCTTTCAGTTTTTCTTGCACCCTTTATAACTTATTCCTCTATCTTAACCCTCCTCTCTACCAGGGGAATGCTGCTAAGCTGGTGCACACTCCGCTGACAGATAAGTGTTACCTGACTCTAACCCAGGCCATGAAGATGGGGCTCGGTGGGAATCCCTATGGGCCTGCTGGCACTGGCAAGACTGAATCTGTCAAAGCTCTGGGTGGGCTCTTTGGACGCCAAGTGTTGGTTTTCAATTGTGATGAGGTAAAAAGACATTTAATGTGTGGGCAGGACAGAATTACATTAAAGATTATATTCATTGAACAAACTTGTAAAATGTTTCAAAGCAGCCAGATAGGAAAAATAGTTTCATGCCATATTGTGATCTGTTTTCAAAAAAAAAAAAAAAAAAAAAGAAAATCATCTAAGCATTATTGCCATATAATGTTGCAATAACTTGATTATTCAGCAAGGATTTTGACATTTATTCAATAATCCTCTTTTTTTTTTACCATATTAGTCTCATACAGTATGATAAACCATGTTAAAGGCCAGGTTTGTTACATGAAATAATCTAATGATAAATAATTTAAAAACATTTTCCTGCATTGCGACGCATATAGTTTTACAATTCAACTGATGAAAAAAAAATCTGTTTAGGGAAGAAAATTATATTTAAAGATGCTATCATTTAAATGTTTAGATAGAAAAATATGCACATATATATATTTTAGATGAAAAAAATATGTTTAAATAAGTATGGTAATTCAAAAAAGGAAAAAAAAATTCTTTTTTTTAATTTCAGGGTATTAAGGATTGAATGTGCTAAACTATTGTTACAAAAAAAGGAAAGTTCTCATGACAATACAGAAATTGGTAACACTTTAAGGTTAAGAATGAGAAACTAAAACCATAATATTGTGATTCCTTTTTTGTGTTTTAAATATTTTCCTTTATGGAGTTTGTTTTTTTGTTGTTTTTCAGTCAAATAATTAAATATTTGAATGCTACACCAAAAGTGGAAAATGTTTTAAAACTACAGATAGGTATATTGGATGGATGGATGGATGGATGGATGGATGGATGGATGGATGGATGGATGGATGGATGGATGGATGGATGGATGGATGGATGGATGGATGAATTCATTGCTGATGAAATTACAAGCTACTTTTTTTCTGCTTTTTTCAGGGTATAGATGTTAAGTCAATGGGAAGAATATTTGTTGGGCTGGTGAAGTGTGGAGCGTGGGGCTGCTTCGATGAGTTCAATCGTTTAGAGGAAGCCGTGCTTTCTGCAGTTTCCATGCAGATTCAGGCCATCCAAGCATCCCTGAAACATAACAAAAAAAACTGTGAGCTGTTGGGGAAGGAGGTAAAAATAAAATCTATAAAAGCAGATACATGTTGTCTTTCCAAGTACCAGACCAAAAAACAAACAAATTAGGTTTCTGTATGATTAGACAAATTGTCTTTTTCTTTCTGTTTGTGACACATTGCATATCACTGCTTTTTATCCCATAAGTTAAATCTCGTATTAATCAGTTATTCATTACTGTTCATTTTGCTGTATCTTTCATCACCATACAATTAAAGCTAAAGGTAGCTATTAATAGAGGGAATGTGTTGTTAAAGAGAAAAAACATTTGATATTTTTATTTCCCAGGTGGAATTGGACCCAAACTCTGGGGTTTTCATCACTTTAAACCCTGCAGGGAAAGGCTACGGTGGGCGGCAGAAACTTCCAGACAACCTGAAGCAGCTGTTTAGGCCTGTAGCCATGAGCCGACCCGACAATGAGCTCATAGCTGAAGTCATCCTCTACTCTGAGGGCTTCAAAAATGGAGAAGTACTGGGCCGTAAGCTGGTTGCAGTCTTCAATCTGGCCAGGTAAAAGCTATGGGGATTTTTTTGCAGTATTGACATTCATAAACTTCCTGTAATTGTTGTTAACCTGTTTCTGTGGTTAAAGTGTTACGGTTAACTTTATGATTATGTTTCCTAAGATGTCCAACTTTGATTTCTACAGCTTGTACTAGAGTAAAATATAAGAATAAGCCTGTATTTGCCTTTCCCAGGGAGTTGTTGACACCCCAGCAGCATTATGACTGGGGTTTACGGGCTCTGAAGACTGTGCTTAAAGCTTGTGGCTGTCTGCTGCAGCAGCAGAGGAAAGGTCATGACAAGGAGATGAGTAAGTCCCCCACTAGCTCTATTTTTATCTCTTTTTTTTTTTTTCAATGTTTTTCTGAGGCATTTTTACCACTCCAATTTATGAGTGTGACAGGAAAATTATAAGGAAGTGGTTGCAGCCTTGGCTATTACCGCAAGTACCATCCTTTGCTGTCCTACAGCTACAAAAAATATGGTACACAAATCTCTCATTAGAGATCATATTAGGAAAATGCTACAAAAGTATAGAAAATTCTAAGAATAAAATAAAACACACTGCTTCATCTACTAAGCTGTATCGTCACTAATCCATCAAGTGCTGAAAGAAAGGATTCTTTATTACAGTCATTTCTACAATCAGAGGGTGGGACTGATGCTTCCATTCTTCTCCAATTTCAAGTTAGTCTAATAAATGAAGTAATTTGAATTGAAGGATGGATGAAGAATGCAAACCAAAAAAAAAAAAACAGTAGAAATTGCTTGAAGTGTTTGGAATTGATATTTTGATTGATTTCAGTCGCAAGCCTGAAAATATTAGTTTATGCTTTTAGAATGACGTTAAACAGATTATTCTTCATCAGTGCCTGAAGGCAGAGGGTTGATTATCTGGGACTAGCTTTTCACAGTTACAGTCCTTCCTTCCTTCCTTGCCTTGCCTTGCCTTGCCTTGCCTTGCCTTATGTGTCTTAGGTTGATTTATATAATCTTTTTATTTTTCAATGTAAGTTTTAGGACACACTAAACATGTGAAATTATGTTTTCCCCCTCAGTCTGTAATCTAATATCACCTTTGTGGTTGTTAATATAAATTTAGGCTGGATGTCCTTTGAGGGAGAAAAATAGCACTATTAAAAAATCAAAACCAGACAAACAACATGTTCTTAATTAATGTAAAATCTACTCTTTGGATTAATTTACATATTTTCTCAAATCAGCTATTTAACAACTTTATTGAATCATGATGGCTTCTTTAAATGGTGACAAATAATTTCACGAAGCACATCACTACACTGCTGTTATTTTGGACGGCCATTAACCTACGGAAAATGAACATTTTATTTCTCGATTTAGAAAATAAGATTAATATTTCTTTATTAATTCAGCTCTAGCTGTGTAGAATTTAACAGTATTTCTGTTACACTTGTTTAAATATAAAAGCCTGGTGGATTGAAATCCAGATTTGTTTTTAAAATGAGGATAAAACTATTCTCAAACTATTTCTTTTGCTTTTGGTCTTTTTATCAGTTTTCTACAAGTTACATATGTAGAGATAAATGTAACTCTTCCTGTAAACCACACTTTTCCTGTTATAAGACAAATGTTAAAAATGTTCTTTATTTTTACTTAGAACCAAATAACTAAATTAAATAGCAATGTGATCATTAGAGTTCTGGATGCAAATTTTCCTCTAAAAAGACATTTTAATGAAAGTCTAAGAAATATGTAATTATTTTAATGAAATTCTGTTTAAAGGAGAAATCTATTCTTTCTCTCATATTTATTATTGCAAAACATTTTGGTTTCCAGGGAGCCTTTTAAAATGTTCCGGCTTAACTCGGTAGTATCTCCTTCCCCCTCCTTCAAACATCTTATTGGCCATCTCTCTGTTATATTTGGCCGTCTTTTTTTCCTTTTTCTTCACTCATTTTTACCACTCCCCTAACTTTCCAATAATCCCCCTCTGTCTCTCCTCTCACTTTTTTCTATCCCTTTATTTGTTTCCTCCATTTTCTTTCAAATCCCTCTGGTCCACCACTCACTTTTCATCTGTCCAACATGCAGACAGGCACCCCATGTGTCTCCAAGGTTGTTTTGTTTATCTCCTTGTTACTGTGACAAGAAGGAAAGGCTTTCACCATTGTGCCTGCAGGAAAGACGATTGACTTTGGAGTTAAGAACAGAAGTATTGACAAACTCTTAGATCATGACAAGCTCTTGTAATTAGCGTGGTTTTAACAGGGGAGATGTGTATGAGCAAAGCAATAATGACTTGACAAGTTAACTCTTGTGAACTTGTCTCTTTGTATTCCTCTCCAGCAGGCTGGTTTTGTTTATCTTTGCTGTTTTCATCCCCTCTTTAATGTTGTTGATCTTTTCTCTTTCGTCCAAGCAGTTCAGGAGAGTAATATGGTGGTGCAGGCATTGAGATTAAACACCATGTCCAAGCTGACATTTGCAGACAGCTCTCGGTTTGACGCCCTTGTCAGAGATGTCTTCTCTGGGGTTAATTTCACCGACGTTGAAGACCAGATCCTGATGGATGCATTAAAACAAGTCTATCAGGAGGCACAGCTGGAACTTATACCAAACCAGGTAAGTGTGTGGTAATTATTCAATTTAAAATGACTCAACCATTAATGTTTTGCTTGATAAATGAGAAGCTACAGGAAGAGGCTTTTTTTTTTGTTTTCAGCTGAAGAAAGCCATGGAGCTGAATGAACAACTGAGGCAACGTATGGGTGTAGTGATCGTGGGGCCAAGCGGAGCAGGCAAGTCTACGCTGTGGAGAATGCTAAGAGCTGCTCTCAACATGACTGGCAAAGTGGTAAGAAAAGAATCCATCCATCTTAGGCATTCATCCATTACCGTGCCATATGTCAGCGGATAATCATTAACATAATATTTATTTTCTGAGAAGGTGGATTATAGGTTTTTATCAGATTCAGGGTGTGCTCATCAGGTTAAACAAAAATGACCAGCTTGAAATAAACCCCTCTGTAAGAACTCTAATGGATTTTCACCTTTTTAGTTTAATAAATTAGCTATCAAATGAATTTTCCTATATGTTTACGATGATCAAAATTCTATTTTTGACAACCTTTTATTACACACAGTTAATTATTTATCTTTAAGGAAAAGCCTTTGTAAAAAATCTAGTTTATTTAATACTTTTGTGCATCTTTTTTATTCTAAGAAAACTAGACACTTGTGCATCAAAATAGCAAACTTTCAGAAGCTTTTTATTAGGGTGTAATTCTTCTCATCTTTGAAGGTAAAACATTACACAATGAATCCTAAAGCCATGCCCAGACAGCAGCTTTTGGGACATATAGATATGGACACCAGAGAATGGGCTGATGGCGTTCTCACTCACAGCGCCAGGACTGTAGTCAGAGAACCACAAGGTAAGATGCAACCTCAATCATTAACATGTTCTGCTTACCAACTTGCCTTACAGCTGCCTAATAAATACCCAAATTACTGGACCAATTGGACTTCTGGGAGGGTATCAGAATGCCAGCCAGAAGATGGTACATTTATAGTTCCTTTGTTTCCTAGATGTGAATTCCTGGATAGTTTGCGATGGAGACATTGACCCTGAGTGGGTTGAAAGTCTAAACTCTGTGCTTGATGACAACCGCTTGTTAACCATGCCCAGTGGCGAGCGGATCCAGTTTGGACCCAATGTTAACTTTTTGTTTGAGACTCACGACCTGAGCTGCGCCTCTCCAGCAACAATATCCCGCATGGGCATGATCTTCTTAAGGTCAGTTGGCGTTAAAAGAAAATCTAAGCACCAAAATGTAGCTCTTCTCTGCTACTTCTGATTTCTGTTAGCAGTTTTTTTAATAAATACTTTTGTCAAAACTTTTGGTTGTTCAATTGTTGCTGAGCAGGACTTTAGTGCATGTTTTGAAAGTTTGAGACTTGCTTTAGTGCATTAGAAATGCTCAAAATGCTTCATCTCCTATGGTTTATCTTCATCTCCTATGGTTCCTGTCTGAATCCAAAGTGATGAGGACATTGATGTTGGTGCATTGGTGAAGTCATGGTTGAGGCGTCAGCCTGAGGAGTGTCGCAGTAACCTAGAAAACTGGCTGGGAGACTATTTCCAAAGAGCGCTGGACTGGGTTCTGAAACAGGTGTGATATTTCCCATACATGCATGCATGCAGAAAAAGTTTAATCTAGCTCATTGCTAATCACATTTTAGTTAGATAATTTACTTAACTGTAGATCTGTTCAGTTACAAGTGAGTATACCGATATTCACCTCTTACAGATAAAGGGGTTGAATTTCACTCATCTCACATCTTTTAGGTGTTTTATTTTGAGTGAGTCCTAAATATCTCAGTCTCCATCTTCCCTCTAAAAACTCTAGAATGACTTTGTGGTGGAAACTAGTCTGGTGGGCACAGTACTCAACACTTTATCCCACCTCAATGCTGTGTCTGAGAGGGGAGAGTTTATTGTTGGACTTCTAAGAGGCATTGGAGGAAACCTCAATCTCAAAACACGAAACGAACTTGCTAAAGAGGTGAGAATTATATTTTTTTATTTGATTGGTATCCTGTACTTTTTAAACCCTTAAATGGTCCTTTTTTTGTTTTTACTCCTGTAGTTGCTGAGCTGGGCAAGAGAAAGCCCACCAGATGCCAGAAAACCACTTGATACCTTCTATGATTTTGACAGTGGCCAACTAGCAGCTTATACATTCCAGCGTCCTGAGGATCTCAGCTTAGAACAGCTTTTTAACACACATGTATTACCTGTAATAAAGACTCCGGGCATGCAGAGAGGTCTGCACGGTTTCTCCCCATGGCTCACTGCGCGGCACAGGCAGCCCTTCATGGTGGTTGGACCTGAGGGCTGTGGAAAGGGGTAATTACACATGCATTACAAATCAATACACACACCTTATTAATGCGCTTAAGCCAAAAAGCAGTTTGGATTGCATATAGGAAATTAGTCATTTCAAATGTTTCTGACAAAAACATTAAAATTATCTAATTTATGTATTTTCATAGACCTCAAAAATCAGTCTTCATTTTAAGAAATTTATTGGATTGACCAACCCAGCAAAAATAAAATTATTTATTGTATTTAAAGAAGTATTTGCACACAAAAAAAGAATGTGAATGTTTTCCTTCCACTGCCATATTTCTTTGCTGCAAAAGTGCTATTCACTTAGTGGCTATAAAGTGACAAACTATGGAAAGTTCAGATGGGAGTAATGTTTTTGCAACAAATGTTTAACTAACAAACAACAGAAAAATCAGTATGAAAGCTCTGTGATGCAGATTGATTTACTAATCTGTGATAAAAATGATATTTTTAAAATATGCTGGTGAAGATTCTCAGTCATCCAGGTGATAGTCATTTAAAAAAAGTAAAGAAAAACTTAAAAAGAAGTTAAAAGTTCAGTTTCACTCTGCAGTTCACCTGCACCTTAAGGACAAAGGACATTTGTTTGAGCACCAGAATGTTCAAAATTTGGGCAAAGAAGACGGTTGTTTGAAAAGGGGTGTGAAGGAAGCCCTTTAAGTTAAGAGAGAAAAAAACAACTTCAAAAGGAAAAGTCCGATCAGCAAGGAATAATCAATGGATCATTATTTATACCTAAAGCTAATACATTTGCGTGATTTAATTTATTTTGTGTAAAGATCAGTAAAGAAACAAAAAAAACTTTCATCGTGATCACTGAGCGGCCATTTTTGCCCAAATATAGTAACGCCTAGCGCCATTCTCCCCGCTTTACAAGCAAAATCAATGGGAACTACTGGATACATCTGCAATAAACAACAATTATTTAAGATTTCAAGAGGACTTCATTGAAATTCGTGAGAGCTTTTGTTAAACTGACAATGCCCATGTGCAAGACAGTTAGATGTTGTAATACATTGGGTAAAAGTGAAAAAAAAAAAAAGTTATTTCACCTTTCATAATCCACCATGGACGGGTTCATCGTTGGATTGTCAACTTAAAGATAGATGATTTGACATTGAACTTCTGTCCAGAGAAAAAACACGTCGTATGTAGCCAACATTTCGAAGAAGAATGTTTTTAGGATTACTTGGATAATAGAGCAGTGTGACAAACACCAGATACAGCATTGGGACTTGCTGAATAGCCGATACCGCACCGTGACGTCACAAACTGGTGGGTGGCAGTAGTGTTCTTTGACAAACATGGATGTCTCCGTTAAACACATTCCAATGAGGTTTCTCTTAATTAAAAACAATTATCATTTATTGAACAGTATTTAATTATTTCATATTTAAAGTACTTTCAGAAGTTTGAATTCTTGATATGACCAGACTTCTCCTTTAAACTGAGGGGGGTGGTCTCAGGTTCCAGGTCTCAAAAATAAAAAACGCAGCAATAGAATTGAGTCCTTCCCACTATCATCTCAACCCCCATCACTATTCATGGGACCAAAACATCTCGCCTGGTCAGCTAGGTCAATAATGACCCCAATGACTCACTTTTCAGAGACATGGGCCTTTATTGGGTATTGCAGGCCAACAATGACCTCAATGACTCTCCATTACTAGTGTTAGACAACTTCTATTGTTATGTTGTATACACAGAGTGTTTACAAAACAAAATTTTGTTTTGTACAGCTTTCAGACAATGAATTAGCAGCAGCTTAGCAGTGAAATGAACATTTCCTTTCCTTAAAGTACAGCAGTGATCAAATGTAAAAGTGTGGGAGAAAAAACATGGTGCAAAAATACATTGATATGGAAGTGTAGAGCATTTCAAGACAACTATATATGGTGCGAATATGCAATATTTTGGTTTTGTGAATTAGTGTGTCCACTAAGGGGCGGACCTGTTCTTTAGGTTCATTTTGCACATTTTGTAAGCCATAACAAGGCTTTGTTGAGCTACAGCTGTACTCAATAAAGCCCAGAACCCAATGCTACTCCAGACATTTTGAATTGAAAAATCTTCCCTGATGGCAAGTGAAACATCTTCAAATTTGGTGACTTGTTTTTAATTTTTTGTTTTTGTTTTTTTTGTTTTTAACTTTTTTGGAATGATCTTTTAAAAAAACTATTTATCTTCAGGATTGTATGCCTAAACCAAGTCTCCTTTAGTGGTTGTTGTTATGCATATTCTTGTATTTCTCTTCTTAGAAAAGAGAAACTTAACAAGATCACAGCTTGATTATGCCTTAAAGACAGGGATGTTGAAGTTGGTACCCCTGAAATGACAAAATCACACAATCAGCAACAGAATCCAAGCAACCTTTATTTAAAACTTGACCTTTCCTGTGACAGCTTAGAGTAAGGATACAGTCAGTGTTTAATGTGCCGAGGTTCACAGGTGTACATCAAGAGTTGTATCGTTAGAAATAATTGTCTCCCTCACCAGGCACTCAAACAACAGCGGTCACTCAGTATGCCTTTTACACTTAAGTTCAGTCCGTTATTTACTTCCTATCTTTCTTCCCTCTGTCTTAAAGGTCACTATCCCAGCTTGGTCACTAAACTTGTCTGCTTATTCCTCAAACAAAATAACAAGCATTTTAGATACAAACAATGTGAGAGCAAAATCTAATCTGCTTCCTAGATATTGTCTCATCCTCATAAAATATGCATCTTTCCCTTTGGGTCTGCTATTACTAACATTGTTCTAAGATCCAAAGAGACTCTTTTATTAAAAGCAGTATAGCTGCAGTTCTTTTTATTCTTGCTCACTGTTCTGACATAATCCAGATATGAGTGATCAGTGTTAAAAGTAAGCAACAGTTTGTTTAAACTAATAGATAATATAACTATATATTACATCTAAGCTGTAATATGTTTTTTTATTTGACCCTTTATTGTTTTCTATCTAGCATGCTTCTGCGCTATGCATTTGCTGGGCTGCGTTCCACACAAGTCGCAGTGGTTCACTGCAGCGCCCAGACCTCGTCTCGCCATGTCCTCCAGAAGCTCAGCCAGACATGTCTGCTGCTCAGCTCAAACACAGGCCGAGTTTTCCGACCTAAGGACTGCGAGAATCTTGTCCTTTACCTGAAGGACATCAACCTACCTAAACCAGACAAATGGGGGACCAGTAACCTCATCGCCTTTCTGCAGCAGGTGAAGATACATGATCACGAAAAGAGTTTTCAACTAACAAGATGTTTTTCAGGGAAATAAGTCAAATAAAGCCTACTCCAATATCTTTTTGATCCTTCAATCCAGATTTTGACCTACAAGGGGTTTTATGATGAAAATCTGGACTGGGTGAGCCTTGAGAACATTCAGGTCGTTGCCTCCATGTCAACAGGAGGGGCTGTCGGTACCCATTCGCTCTCCTCCCGTTTCTCCTCAATTGTACGCGTTTGTACCATAGAGTAAGTACATTGTTATCACCAAAGATAATTTTGTTTATAGGCTTGAAAAATTGTATTTAGGACATGGCTCTTCTTTATCTGATTTTGCTTGACCTGCCTTATAGCTATCCAGACAGAGAGCAGCTGCAAACCATCTACTCAGCTTACCTTCAGCCTGTTCTCCATCACAGTCTGGGAAACCAGGCTGCCTGGGCCAGCACTGGGAAAACACACCAGCTGGCAGGCTCTCTTGTCCAAGTCTATGAACAGGTATTGATTTTCAGGGGGTGTTCCCATATCACTACATTCAAACTTTTGTTAGACAAAGACTGAATCTGCCATACTTATCATGTAGTTTCCTGCTGTTTCCCTGGAAACAGCCCGTTTCATCACTAAATATGTAATTTGTGCTGAAGGGCTGCCCACCAGAAGCTCTTTCATGTCTTACAAGCAAATGCAGCTTTTAATTTCTTGCTTCCACTGTACAGGCAAATCTCCTTTTTATCTAAACACTGTAAATATTTTTACAATAACTGCATTACATAATAACGTGTTAGTAACTGCATTTTTTGTTTATGAAGATTTAATTCTCAGAAAATCCAGATTTTTCTAACCAATTTACTCCTTTGGCTTTCAGATATAGATAAAATCAGTCCATCTTTTGTTTTCTAAGATGTGTACTCATAACTGAGAAACTAGCTGTCTGTGTGAGACCACTAGCTGCAAACATTTAGTTTGTTGTATTTTTATTGTTTGTTGTGAAGCCTGATTATTTTACAAGCATGCTTCACTGCTTGAATTTGGTCGCACTTTAATATGGATTGTAGACGGGACGGGATATAGTCGGGGAGCTGAGATAAAGGCATACATGATGCTGATTGGCTGAGGGGCGTGATTTTGGGAGGGTCTCCATCATTCTTTCATTGCCAATCACACAGATTGAGAGGGGAGGAGAGCTCTGCATATCCAATGATAACCCAATCTGGAAGCACTTATTATTTCTATGAACAAAGACTTTTTTCATGAAATCCGATCCTCATACCACCGTAATACTAACTTGGTTACTTTTGGGGAGAAGTAACTAGTAGATGTAACTATACAACACTGCCCGTATCACAACACTCACTAATAAGCTAATTTATATTTAATTTTTACTTGCTTGTAAAATTAAGATGTCAAAAACAGCCTTCTGTCAATTCATTTTATTTTTTTATGCTAATGTAATACTAATGTTTTCTTATGTGAAGGCAATCTTGGAGAGGAATGCCTTTACTAAAGAGAGAAAAGAACAGTTTTCCATATATGTTGTCATGATCTAGTTCTCCTGTCTTTTTAAAACATTTTCTATAATGTTTTTGCTCTGTCTCTGTAGGTCAAATTAAAGTTTACAGTGGATGACCACAGTCACTACCTGTTTACACCTTGTGTCCTGACAGAATGGGTTTTTAGCTTGCTGCGATACGATCTTACTGCAGGTAACTACAGCCTACAGAGGATTTTCCCTTTTAAATAATATCTGGTCTTTATATTATTTATCTATACTTCTTAGTGGTAGTAGTGGATAATGTCAAAATCCAGAGTTTCAATTTTAAGTTGTGATAACATATAGAGAAGAAGTGAACTAATATGAAAATATTCATGACAGATGACACATTCTATAAGCAAAATGGCCCTGGTGCGAGCTGACGGAACTGACAAAAACTCCTCGGTCAATGTTGAAACATCTCCAGAAAAAAAACTAAGTAAAAGTTTAGGTCTGTTTTGTGTTTACCATAAGTAGTGCCATGATTTCGGCTTAAACTCTGACAAAGTGTCTCTTTCAGCAACTAAACTGCACAGTGACAATAACTGTTCTTTTTTAACTACAGTCCAAGCCTGAAGATGTTGTTTTTTGTGGGCTGCAAATCTAAATGCTGGGTCTTTTTTTCAGAGTTGGAAAGTATCACCCCAAAACAGCAGTTTTCTCTTATCAAAGGAATACTTTGTTGTTTTAAAGACAATATTTTATTCTGTGTTGATTTGGTAATAATACGACGGAGTATTAGGGCCAGGCTAGAGATTTATTTTTTTTTAAATACAAGGATAAAGTCATAACGTTATGAAAATAATATTGTAACATTAAAAAGTCATAATATTATGAGAATAAAGTAATAATATTATAAGAATACATTTCCAGCATTATGAGAGTAAAGTTATAATATTATGAGAATAAAGTCATAATATCACCAAAATAAAGTCACAACATTAGGAGAATAAGTTGTTATATTATGAGAATAATGTCATAATATCACAAGAATAAAGTTGTAACATTAGGAGAAAAAAAGTTGTAATATTATGAGAATAAAGTATATTGTGACAACTCTTACAAGAAGCACTGTCTTCCCTAAAATGAGGAATGTTGAGCATGTTGTGAAGTTATATTTTGGCATCAGTTGCTCAACTAAAGAAATATTAAGTTTTTTATCACATCATCATCAAATTGTTATCAGTATCAAAACTTTGAAACTATTGTGCAAATGACTGTCTGTCTATATCGAAGAAAAGCTTTCTTTCTGAAACAGGTTGTGGTATAATAGCTTCACTTTTGTAATTTATCAACTTAATTCTTGTAACTTTATTACTTTATTCTTGTAAATTTACGATTTTATTTTTGTAATATTATGACTTTATTCTCATTATATTATAACTTTATTGTGATAATGTTTCAACTTTATTCTCGTAATTTAGCAATTTTATTTTTGTAATATCATGACTTTATTTTCATAATAAAACAAATTTATGTTACAACATTATTCTTATAATGTTATGACTTTATTCTCGTATTTATAATAATAAAAATACAATCTCTAGCCTGGCCCTAATACTCCATTGTACAAAAGACTGTATTAAAAAAAATCTATTTTTCCAAACTTGAAACCATTTTCAAATTAATTTTTAAAGATCGATTCCTATAATCTAAGTTAAAAAATGCATTCCACTGTCCTTACAGCTGCCAAAAATAACTATTAATTTATTAATTTTGTGTTAAATTTTGATATAATTTTAGTATTAGTATGTCATATTTCTACACAGTTATGTAATTCGGGTAAATGTAAAAAATGTCTGTTAATACTAGGTATCCTATTTGAAATTGGATCTGATCTAAAATAATTGATTCTAAATCTTGAAAATCAGAATTGAGATAATTCTTTGTATTCTAATCGATACCCAGCCCTGCTTCGGAAGGCTTAAAAGCATTATGGAGAACCTTTAAAGCTGGTTTATGAAAAAAAGAAAAAAAACCTATGTGTGCAAAGAAGGCTAAGCTCAACCTCACCCTCACGTTAAAGAAGTATGTACAGTAGACTTAGTGGAGAAGAATTAGTTGGTATAGATTGGAAGAACTGTCCAGTATAATAAGACTTGGTACCTATATTTATCTATGATTAGATGGACGTTACAACGACAGTAGTGAGACAAAGACCAAAGTTCTTTATTAGCCATGCTCTTTATGAAATGGAAAATGAAAAAACATTAATGCATACCTGAATTGAATCCTTTTAAACCAAAAGAAATACAATTTAAAGGCGTCTCATAAAGCTTAAGTTGTTACATATTTTAGAATTTATGATAAAGCATTTTATTTGTTATGAAAACAAAAGACCCCTTGTACCAAGTTTTAGCTTGTGTGCTGCAGTTCCACCCTTTTTTCTTTTCATTTTCTCTTTTGCTGTCTTGCTTTCACTCTCTTATTCTCTCTGCTCTTTGCTCTGCTCTATTCTCTCTCTTGCTTTCACTCTCTTATTCTCTCTGCTCTTTGCTCTCTGTCTGTAGCTCATTTCCCTCCTTGCCCAATGTTTTCCTGCCGTGATAGAGTCCAGTCACTTATTTTTATGAAATGTTCCAATAGACATACATTTATTTCCCCATGCTCTCATTTTTTTTCAACCATCTTCCTCTAACCTTAGTTATTGTACATTTTTTATATCTGCAAATATGCTCTTTCACATAAGAAAATGTGCACTGTTTCCTCTCTTCTCTTGATATTCCTAAACTGGCTGTATTTGTTTTTTTTTTAGATTTCTTTATGTCAACTTTATTTTTCTCTGTGTGTAGCATTTTACCACTAAATCAAATTCCCTGTGCATCTGAAACACTATTTAGCGATAAAGCTGTTCCTGATATTAAATTATTTCTCTCTTTTCCCTTCCTTACTGCTTACCATCTTGCTGGTATGTATCAACTCTCTTTTTATTATTATTTGATTATTTTTGCATGTTTCTTTGCTACTTTTGGTCGAGCAAATTTGAACTTTGGTGCTAAAAGTACATACATCATTATCAGATAGACTTAATTTTCTGTAACATCAGATTCTATTTAGAACACCTAGATCCGTGTGCATGAATAGATATTACAGTAAAACCTTCCAAGCATTTCTCAGACCAGTAGCTTCCACCTACGCACACCTGCCTGGATCCCTCCCTTCAGTGGCATCCTGCTCTGAGAAAGAGACAGCTGGGAGCCCTACAATAAGCGATTTGGACATTCTCAAACAGCAAAGCCTAATGTGGTACACATGGCCCTCAGACACTCCAAATACCGACCTAATGGGATGTGAAGGCATCTGTAGAATCCAAACCAACTTCAGAGATACCACAAGCAAAAGAGCCTATCAAAGCCTGTCTCTATCTTCCTGCTATATGTCTTATTTATCTTATTTTTTTTTATAGTTAAAGAGGAATCTACACAATATTAGTGATGATGTTTATTCAGGTTAGATTTGATAATGTTTTAAACTTTTATATTAAATTTCATGTAAAAGTGTGGGTTTATTTTAGAACTGATGGGGAAGTATTCATTGGGTCCTTATTAATTTGCTTAGTGTGTTAAACAGCTCCTGCAGAATCCCAGTTTGACAAACACCTTCAATTGTTATTTATTCTGACTATAGTTAATATAGATGAGCAGTTCAGGCAAAACTGAGGTTATATGAAAATCAGTCAAATTAAAAAGCTTATATTGGACATTTAAGTGAAGTAAATGTAAACTTTGTTTCAACTTGACTTGCTTTTAGAGACAGAATGTTAGTTTTTTTGTGGCAAATCTTTTGTTCTTCCTATTTTATTTGGAAGTTGCTAGGTGTGAAGCTATGATTAATCTATATATTTGTTCATCCTGTTCCATTTCAGCTCAATCCAATTTAACAGACAGCGTCTTGGAAGTGGTTGCTTATGAAGCCCGGAGGCTGTTTAGAGACCGGCTGGTCTCTTCTAAAGACATTCACAACTTCGACAACATCCTGTCCTCCATCATTCGTGGAGACTGGGGGTCTGACGCTCTGGACAACATGAGTGGTATGAAGCAGCTCTTACTTTGCCAAATTATCACTCTTAACGTTTGTTCTTAGCCGAAATACGTTTTGCACTCGATTGGCTCCAGGCAGTGCCTGTCATGTACATTTACCGACCACCACTGATGCCTGAAGGATAGCAATAATGTATAACTCTAAAGCTCCTTTGACAGCTTTGCATCTGGCAGTTATTCTGCTAATGGTCTTTTCACGTTCTGCAAACCAGCTGGAAATGAATCATTTCTCTCTCCCAGTTGGTTTGACTTCTTTAAATCACATGACTTACAAGCAAACTATGCAATTAGTAGAGTCTTTTACCCAATGATTGGGGAAAAATGTCCCACAGTGGTGATAAAAATCAAATTTATCTCTACATATAGCAGGTTTAAGATGTCATGAATTGGCTATAAATTGTGATTGCAGCTGGCAAGGTGTCAATTCTATACTTTCCTTGAAGCCTTTGCTGAAAAGAGATAATTCATATATGAATTAGATGCCTCATCAGTTCTTTTGTTATAAAGCTCATCAACAAGGGTCTGAATATGCAGCTAAAATTGCAGTTATGCAATCTGAGAGGTACACAACTAAACATGTTACTTATGGTCTGGGTTGTTTTTTGTTTCTTTTGCTGCTGTTTTTTTTTTAAGATGGTTTCTATGTGACATGGGGAGCTTCCGAAGGGGCCGTCACGGCTCCAGGCCAGCCTCTGCCCCTTCATGGGAAACAGCTTGGTCGTCTGAATTCTGCTGATTTGAAACAGGTTATACAAAAGGTAAGCCGGAGCAGCGGGGGGTTATTTCTGTTAGTTTCACTGTGGATGCTGCATTTTATTGCTTACTTCATGTTTTTATTTCTCTGTTTTATGGACCTGCTCAGCACTTTTGTTAGTTGGAAGTGTAAAGTGTTCTGTAAAATAAGTTTGATTGATCAGTAAAAGTCAATTTACATATGCTTATACAAATTTTTATTAATATGTCAATACAGTGGATAATACCCCTTTGCATAAACAGAGGTAATAATGTTTTTATCTACACAGGAAATAAAACCTGATTATTTTTTAACATTTGGCATTGTATATTTTAAGCTTTGGTTTACAGTTTCATAATATCAATACTTTTATCTGCTGCCATCTTATACCTTTACTCTCCCTTAAACTGTTGTTGTTTTATTGGTTACCTTTGTTCATAATTCTAACTATCTTCAGGGAGTTTCACTGTACAGTCGTGACAACAGAGAGCTTGACCTTCTACTGTTCTGGGAAGTGTGCGACTTTGTTTCCCGAGTGGATCGCGTTCTAAGTCGGCCTGGTGGCTCTCTGCTTCTGGCGGGACGGAGCGGAGTGGGTCGGCACACTGCCGCCTGTCTGGTGTCACACATGCATGGAAACATGTTGTTCACGCCTAAAATCTCCCGTGGATATAACCTCAAAAATTTCAGCAATGACCTTAAAATGGTGAGAAGGGCCTAATCAGCTTATTGTGTTTTTATTAATCATAGATAATTTTAGTTTAGAGTGTTGACCAAATATCTACACGTCTTTTGCTTATTTTTTTTTTATTGTTTTTGCTTCTTTTTAGAGTAATTAAACTTTAAACAGCTACTATGTTACGACAAAGAAAAAAATATATTTGCCTATGAAAGTCTTTTTGTTGTCTCTTTGTTGCCACTGATTTATTGATATTGAAATCACATGTTGTACTTTATGTATCAGATATATCAGATGTTTATTTTGCTCTTAGGTGATGCAGCTGGCGGGTCTGGAAGGTCAGCAGGTGGTTTTACTGTTGGAGGATTACCAATTTGTCCACCCAGCTTTCTTAGAGATGGTAAACAGCCTGCTGTCCTCAGGTTGGTATCACATTTTTTGAAATA